GTGTTTTTTCCCTGTGTTCATTTGCTTTTCAGGTGTTTTTTTTCTCTCCTAACTACTTCAATGAGGGAAAGAGTTGTCGGTGAATTGGGGGGGGGGGGGGGGGGGAGACTATTAACTGAGAGAGCTTTAAGTCACAATAACTGCTTTACCCACTTAAAGTAGCAGCAGCAGTAATAGTTGTGGTTGGGCTGTTACACCATAGTGCTCTCATGTGAAGCCCGCTTGTAAGGTTATGGCGTTCTTCTTTTTTTTTTCCCCCTGGACTAAAATAATATCCTCATCTGCTCTGTCGTGGTGACAGCACTAGTCATGTTGCCTTAAATACTTAAAAGTAAAAAAAAAAAAAGACAAGTAAATGGGAAAACCGTTTGATAATTAAATTTGACCATTTCGCATACTTATGATTGCATTTTTAAACTTTCCGATTGCATGGTTCCGCTGAAATTTCATAGATTTCCTTTTAATTTAGATTTAGTTATTTCATCTGTATTGGAATTTTAAGCTGTGCTGTTTACCATGGCGTTTATTTCCTAATAATGGTGTTTTTTTCCTGCTTTCATTTGCTTTTCAAGTGTTTTTTTTCCTCCCAACTACTTCAATTAGGGAAAGAGTTGTCAGGGAATTTTTTTTTGGGGGGGGGGGGGGGGGGGGGGGGGGGGGTCAAACTATTAACTGAGAGAGCTTTAAGTCACAGTAACTGCTTTACCCACTTAAAGTAGCAGCAGCAGTAATAGTTGTGGTTGGGCTGTTACACCATAGTGCTCTCATGTGAAGACCGCTGGTAGGGTTATGGCGTTCTTCTGTCAGGAAGTGAAATTATACATCCTAACCTGACCAGTCTGTGGCGACAGCACTAGCCATGCGGAACCAAATCTTCTGGCTCACGACTCTCTGTCTACACCGATGGTATCACAGATAGCAGTGACATTATTTTAGCTTCTGTGGTGGTGGTCGTGGTAGTAGTTGTACTGGTACTTGAAGGATGATGTGGTAAATATTACACTAGCCCCATTCACTACCTATTACAATTCCTGCTCCCCATTTTAGTCCAGATGGACAGGGATGTCAATGTCATTTACAGCAACAACAAAATATCGCCAGGTAGTGATTTTCAAATCCTTCGAAGATGAGGGAGAAAGCAGTAGTCGGTGGAAGAGGGGAGGGGACGGGGTAATGACTTAAATTTAAGAGAACTTAAAGAGCTTTACACGTGATTTTCAAGTTCTCATTACCTAATTTGTTTATATTTTACTAACGCTACCTCCGCTTTTCTATTTTTTACGACTTACTTTGTTATTCACAAGTACAGTTGTAGCTTTACTTCCGTCCCTATAAAAATACCTTAAACTTTAGCATGTGATAACCAAATAACCATTTTTGTTACCGTGAGTCTTTCCTTCTCTTTGGCTTCCTCTCTCCTAGATTCAGTCTCCATCTCTTTAGTTTTTATCTGTGTCTCCGCCTTATCTTTATCTGACTGAATCTGTGCTGCTAATCTGTCTCTTTCTAGTTGCATCTCTTTCTCTTTGATCTCTTTCTGTTGTAGCAATTCGTTTTAAAATCCATCTCTTTCTGTTTTAAGTCTGCTTCTTTCAATTATTCTTTCTCTTTAAAATCCATCTCTCTCTGTTTTTATTCTGCTCCTTTTAATAATTCTTTCTCTTTCGTCTCCTATAGTGGACAGTCTCCTTTGCTCTCTTTCTTCATCTGCTGTCTTCTTATACTTCTGGTCTGCATACTCCTTGGAGACCTAGCTCCTTTCCGATAGCAATCCATTAACCCAACCAGACCTGAGGCCCTGAACCTAACTGTCCCTATAACCTGAGCTCCTGGGCATTACCGCGAAAAAACCAACATGATATACAAAAATATTAGTTACATGCAAACGAGTGGCTAGAATATGATGAAACTTAGAGACATTGTAGAAAATAGTCTTACCTTTTATCTACTCATCAGGATCAACTTTGTTTCACAAAGTGAACACCAGATGTTGCCGTTTGATGGACACACCCCCTTCTCCTACTATCGATCTATTTCAAGATTGATAATTTTCAAGATTTTCCTTATCATTCGCGCTCTCACTGACAGTGTCACTTCATTAATGTATTCTTTATGAAATTATCACAGATAAGGAATATATATATATATATATATATATATATCACAGAGTCTGAATAAACCAAAGTATCGATCACCTGTTGGACTGTGAAAAGCCTAGAACTTGGTTCATCAGCCGCTCGCTTCATTCTGAATTTTCCGAAATTTTTCACATTAAAACACACAAAATTGATTCACACACACTGGGAAGCCATTTGCAATGTCTAACAAAGCGGACTGATGATGATTGGTTGGTTTTTTTTTAAAGTCAGTGATGCATCTTTCTCACGCACTATGCAAATAGCCGAAAAGTAGGGCCAGCGGTGTGGAGAACAGTTATGAAATTCCCGGGAAACCGGGCCAGCGGTCTGGTAGGGTTAAGACATCCCAGACATGGTTAAATCAGATGTTTAATATTTCAAATCACAACAATTGGCCTTGTATTTTTCTTGTACTGCCTTTTATCCTTCCTGTTAATATCAACAATGTCAAAGAAATTACACAACCAATAAAGAAATTGAAATTAATTGTAAGTGATTGTTATCACTTGATGCAACCAAGTTGTTTTCTACCAACTTGGGTTATAATACTATAAAGTTAATTGTATACCCACAACAATATCAATAGTATCAAATAAATATATAAATCACATCAATGTCATCAATTTTCAATAGATCAATTATATAATAAAGTTGAACAATATTACCCTGTCAGGAGATTAATAACCCTGTAATACCTGTTTAATTTTATTCCTCTTTGATTTATAAACTTTGTCAGTAGGTAGTTCTCCACTCTGTATGTGCCCCGGCTATCTACTACTTCAGATCTGTTAAAGACCTTATAATAACTACCAAAAATATTATAGAAGAATCTTCTTCTTCAGCATTCCGAGCCCTTGAGGTTCATTGCTACAGATATCACCCGCCTCCATTCATCTCTCTGGTTGGCCCTCTCTTTCCAGTTGGTGACACCAAGTGTTTGCAGGTCTGACTGGATATTGTCTATCCATCGTCTTCTTGGTCTGCCTCATGGTCTAGGACCATTCATCTCCCTGGTTTATGCAGTTTTTACTTCTCTGTCATCTGACATTCTTTCAATATGCCCTAACCACTAATAATTTTAGAAATTCTTCCTGCAATGTTCCTTTTATTTATTGTTAAGCAGGGTACAAAATTGTTCACACAGAAGTTAATCTGTTCCTTGAAAGATTATTTATTGTACACTGCCTATAGCGTTAATAGTAATTAAAAATGGAAACAGTACCTCATTTGTCCAACGTGGTCACAAAAATTCAGACACTGAAGTTTTGTGCTGCTCTCTCAAACCGTCTGTCAATCACGCACGCCTGCTTTCGTCCGTCGAGGTTGTGCTGACCTTTGATTAAGTCCCGGCTGCCCATGTGTAGTGCTCAATATGGTGTTAGTATTGCTAACTATCAACTTAATCCGATAATTTTCTGATAGCAGATTGTCAAATGTTGTCACTCCAGGTGTCTTCTCACAATCTGTTTGGGATGTGTTCTTGAGCAAATCGAAGTTGACTTCTGGTAAAGGCTTGAAATTTATGGTGAAGTTTTACCATTGATACTTGTTCTGATGACTTGTTAATGATGTGCTATTTCAGCTGTTTTTTGACTGACTAGATCGGTGGATAAACTATTCAACCTCTAAATTGAATTTTCTACAGCTTTCTTGTATTCACTCGACAGTTTGTCTTTCTCAGTTTGCTTAATTGGTCACCGTTGCTGAGATGTTCTGCTATTCGACGAATGACTTGTCAGTCGACTGTCAAATTGTGTAGGCTGTCGCAAAGTGCCGCGTAACCCAGGGCAGTCTAGTTCATCTCTTTAACTATTCACTCTGTTGATGAAATTACCCACCATCAATGTTGCTATTAAGTTGGAGTTTTGCTGCAACTGTTTGCATTGCTGGATGATTTCAAGAACTTTGCTTTATCACTGGTTTTTGCCTCTTATTTGATCGTCTATGTCCCGCTTCCAACTCACAATAGGCCCAGCTTCTGAATGAAAAGTGTCACTTCTTGGCACTGCCCGCTGTTGCATCGTTGTCTAAACTTAGAAATTTTAGCTGTTCTTCCTCGGGTTTACCGCTGTAGTGCGCCCAACTTGGGATATTGTATCCTCTGTATGCCGACTAGTTGCTAGGTTTTTTTTTAAATATGAAAAGACATAGATGACATTCTGAATGCACAGTTAGTAACGAGTAGATGATATCCAGTTATATTCTTTATTACAGTTTCACAGGTAATCTGGTCCAGTCACTGTCTACTATTAGCTAAAGGGTCCAGCAAGATATGATGACATTTATCAAACGCAAACTTGACCTCTACTCCCTTCCACACTCGTAACCTTTCAGTCCTGTTTCCTTACACACGTAATACACACAATGGTTGATGCAGCAATGCTGATCATGGCGGTTAGACATCTTGTCTGGTTGAAAATTGTCAACTACCACTTCTGATTAGGCTGTCAAGCTGTCATTTTGCGATCTTCTCATGGAACAGAATCTCCTTCACAACCTCAAATATACAGTGTCACATTCAGATGTCTATCAGATACAACCTTTTATGCCAGCTGCCAAACACATACTAACTGATTAGACCTTGGTCTAACCTTATAACCTTCATTCTGGGTCTCACGTGCTGGTTTGAGCCCTGCATGTATATCTTGTGTTTCTACAAGTATTCACATTCTCATGTTTACTCCCATATTATTGCATGGAGAATCCCCATGGGAAAATACCAACATTACAAGCGATGTTCTGCAAAAGACCTGCTACCTGATGATGATGAAGAGATTATGTAAATTGGTGTCTTCAGATATTGATGGGTTTTTTTTCTCATCCTTAATTACTTGTCATAAGGCTTCATAATTTTTTTTTCAGGTATCGAGTGGAGAGATGACTGCCACGTTTTCTTGAGTTGTGGAAAAGATGGCTATTTAATACAGCATGTGTTTAGTGATGCTAAACGTCCAGCAGACCATGTGAACCCTGCAGGAGTGGATCTCAGTGCTATGGAAGACATTGGTTTTGCGTACTTTGATAAGAAAGGTGAAAAAATATATATTTAACTGTGTGCTGTTGTTCATTTAACAAATATTGATCAATTTTGTTGTTGTAAAGTATATCATTGTGTACTTTGTTGACGGGGCAAGAAAAAAAAAACTGACCTGGTTGGTGCCTGTCTCCTCCTAGGCAAACCTCCATGAGGAGGCTTGGTAGAGCTGGGTGCTCTACAGGTTGACAGGCAACTTAATTTCACTTTTCAACTCTCTGAAGACAAATTAGCAACCTAAGCACTGCAGGGTGCAGTGCCAAGCACTTGAGCAAAACCTTATATACCTTTTTGTTTGTTGTTGCTGTTATTTGCTGTTACATGGTGAGTTGTCATATAGTTCAGATTTTTTAAATTCACCATATTTATTCTTCACCTCATGCTTTTCAACATTGCTATTTAAAGAACATACAGATTTTGACTATGAACAAATCTATTGTGCCACCCAAACAATCACATATAGGATTATGTATTACAGACAAGTAAGTATAGTTCCATGACAGCTACTACTACTTAGGTGTGAAGTTTTAGACCTTCTTGTTCTTTGTCAAACATGTTTTTATTGGAGCTAATTTCATAAAAGTATTTCACAGAAGCTTCTGCCTTTTCTCTTTTTGTTTCTGCTTTATTCAAGATTTTTGTCTGTATACTTAATTTTTGTTTCTGTTGTTCTTTTATTGCTCTGAGCTCTTTCCATTGTTTGAAGGTTGGTATTTTTGGTCGAAGTTTGGTAGAATTATCTACTTTTTTCCTTTTTTTGGTTTTATGGATAAATGGTTGCCAACCTTTTTGACTTGTAAAGTCGCTTTTAGAATCAGTTTTAGAATCAGTTAATATGGCAGAGCCCTTAGGTCTACCCTATGCTGTCTTACAATTTAATGATGTTTAGAAGTAATGTTATGGAGCAGAATGTAAAGTAAAGAGATATCTAAACACTTGCACAATATCCATGCAATAAAATTATATTTTACAAACTTTAAAATTTTCCAAAACAGTCACTTTATTCTCATATTTAACCAATAAACATCATATTATCAGGATATTTCCCAGGATATCCTCAAGATTGTCCACTGTCTCTAGTTTTATTCACTGCATAAGCTGCTGATAACTGAGAAACAACTGAATGGGAGTGGCGGGGCTCTGACAGATGACATTATCACCATAGAAGAAATCAATTGAAGATAGCTGATTCGATGCAGAGTGAATTTGATCACATCTCTTCTTGATGTGGGGATTTCAATGACATGCCAACCCTTCAAAAGCCTGAGTAATTTAATTGTTCCTTAAACATGCATATGATCAGGTAGGCTTACGAGTAGTGGAAATAAGTGGCTTCGCTTTGCTCAGAGACCATCTGACGACATTTGTGAGTCAAGTCTGATTAGAGTGTGTCCTTCAAAGGACACCACTATATTTTAATGTAAACTTGCAAAGATCTGTCAGCAGTGAAGGTTTTGGCAGCCACCAACATTAAGTAGAGACTACTGCTGCTTCTGTTGCTGGGAAAGGCTCTTTCACAGAGTATACATTTTGAAAAAGGCAAAATAAAAACATGTAAATTATTTTGGGGTGCATGAGGGACACCTCTTGTGTAGCAGTAAGATATTTTCCAACCATGCGCCACAGGATAAGGATATTTAGTCCTAGGGTGTACCGAAAGATAAGATCTGAAGCATCCGTTGCATCACATTTTCTTTAGCGAAATGGGGCAGCAGGTTAAAATGGGCAAATCAAGGCTGGGTTGGACTGAGCATGATATTAGGCAGGTCTGCAGTCTTAAGGACTTGAGGAAGTCTTGAGGAAGTTATACCTGTGCATTCAGCACTCAGTTGCACCTTTTTCTATATTGTTATTATGTCCAGCATACCTTCATCTAACCAGTTTCACTCTTGTCACATTATTTTGTATTGTATTTTAATACTAATTTTTTTCTGATACATCTCACATTTTTTGGGCCCAGAAAGAGAGTGACTTCCATTCCAATTAATAAATCTCCGTGTCCCACGGCATGTGATATGTTGTGGGGGCATCACCCTTAGTGACCGGCCAACACACATACATTTAACTAGTTCTTATCACTGGCTGGTGATATCGCATGTTCTGTATTATCGGATGTGAGTGCTTTTAATGGTCCTGAAACATTCAAAACTTGCCTCAACCTTGACCCTCCTATGTCCCACGAGAGAGTGCAGCCTACCTCCCGCACAAGAGTGCAGCCTACGTTCCACAAGAGAGTGCAGCCTACGTTCCACGACTGTATGCAGCGTAGTGTGACACCCCTGCAACATAGCACAAATGGGCCGATTTATGAATGGGAAGGGAAGTCACTCTTTTTCTGGGCCAAAAAACATGTTTTGTAATTTTTTCTTAATATTTTTACTTTATTCTGTCTCTTAACAGTACCATTTATGGATCATTAATATTTGTATTTCTACTACTCTTTTATTTCTACTATTATATTGTATATTATCACCATTGCCTTTTACAACTATTTTTTCGAGCCCTCCTTTATTTTATTGCTTCAGCATCATCTTTTTCTTAGTTTCTCACGTGACCTATTAGTGGTTGGGGTACTGTCCCCTTTGTTGTTGTATAGGTCAGTTTATGTCAAGAAGGGCCCTGACAGAAATGTCCATTTGTGTCGTGTTGATTTTTGCAGGTTGTTCTGCTTCCCCATTTCGTTAAGCTTTTTAGTCACAGTTCCTTTCTATATTGTTATGCATGATAAAAGAGTTTTCAGCAGCAGATTCCTGTTACTGTTAGTGCAGAGGTACATATGCTTATCTGTGACAGTTCAGATGAGGTAGATATGCTGATCCCTACAGGCAAGACCATTGTACGATAAAATAGAAATACATGAGTATTCACAGTACGCTTTGCAGGCATGCAAGTCTAAGAGAGCCCTTCTTTAAACTACTAGAGGCATGACTATGGAGGATACAAGCTTTCATGTGGCTGGAATCACAAGGTTATGTACAAATGTTCCACCATGCATTCAATTTTTTCTGCAGTAATTTCTGTTCTGGGGCATATGCAGATGTTGTTAGCCATTAAAGAGCAGACAGACTAGTTGGCTCTGTCATAGTTGTAAATGGAGCCGATGGATAGCCAAAGTTTTATTGTTTTTAGATAGAGAGAGTGGATGGTTGAAAGTTTCTGGGGGCAGTGCATCACATTTCTGCTAAGAATACAATAATTGGGAGGCACACTAGACATTTGAGAAGTAATCTCAGCAGGCATAGGGCTGCAATATTATTCACTTGATGCTGTTGTCTATTTTAAGAGGGGAATCTGAGCACATATGGATGTGTCCGGAGTTGCATAAGGATAGCCCAGCTCATAACTTACAGAGACCAAATTTTAAATTAAGTTCTCGTAAGTTCTCAGCTTAATTCATATACATGAATGCCAGTAAACTTTTAAAGAAAAACGTAAATGACACCTATGCATTGTTTAGTTACAAATATTGACCTTGCTGTTTGTTTCCTATTTGTGTTCACCAGTGTTTTTTTTTTTTAATTTAAAATAGATCAATCCAACATTAATGCAGGGAAAAGTAAAAGAGTGCCTCGAAGCAGACAGTTTACGCAAGCAAGTAGCTCACTTTATGTCTTTCAACACCACAATGATGTTTTGGATGCACAAGATGATAAGGAGGTAGTTTTAATATTTCAAAATGTGAATCACAGTATTCTTGCATGTCTTGCATTAATTTGCTGTTCTTGGACAGCCCTTACTCTCTTCATTTTGATAATAAATTTATTTCTTGAAAAGATTATATTAGCATCAATGTAATCAAATGGCTGCCGAAGACGGATAAGCGAAAAAATAAAAAGTGCGTAATGGAATTCAACTGCATATATGTTAAGTAAAAATTTCCGACTATTTCAGTATCGAAATATAACCAGAATCGATTACTAACTTCTTTTCTCAGTGTGCTTAGCTAAATATATAAATTGTGGGTGCCACATTATTATACATGTATCGACAGATCTCCATTGTAATTCTGATAAATAGAATTAAACTTTTTTTTTTTTTAGGTGGCAGACAATGTTGATCTTTATTTTTAAAAAAATGGCAATCATTTTTATGTAAATATGGAGAGTTTTAACTTCTAGAGCTGATGAAAACATTCTCTACAAATAATTTCAGTGTCGTACGCTACCTGGTGGCAATACAGTTGTAGGAAATAGAATTACAGCGTGTTTCAACTGCGATAACAAATTAAAATGTTTTAATGCATTACAGATTCACAGACAATGTTAATGCCTGTAAAATTAGGTGCTGCATTTGACATGATTGTGGTAGGGCTGGAGATCAAGGGAATGTGGGACTTTCAGTATAGCACTAAATATGTGATTGTCATGGTGTGCACAAAAGCCACATGAACTACCTGAAGTAAGGGAAGGTGAGTTCGGGTTGTGAACCGGCTGAGGACAGTCGTCGACTGTAGGTTCTTGCAGACGGTCTAGACAACTGCAATGTGGCTATGCCACATGAAGAGTGGTTTTAATTATTGTGTTATACATCCTAAGGACATTGTCAGAAAGAGCTATAGAAGTAAAGACTGATTTGTACATACGCTTCATAGACTGTACAAAAGCATTTGACTGTGTGAAGCATGAAGAAGTAATCAAAATTAAACATTGATGGGAAAGATCTATGAATAATAAAGAATACGTATTGGCAGCAAACAGCAGCTATAAGAATTAACAACTGTTTAGGTACATTTCAAAGCATAAAGAGGGGGTACAACAAGGATGTGTACTGTCACCTGATTTGTTTTCAATATACAGTGAATATATAATGAGATCTTTAATTGAAATGCCCGGAATTGTGGTTGGTGGGCACAATATAAACAATTTACGTTATGCTGATGACACAGTCTTGATAGCCACAAGTCAGAAAGAACTACAGGAAATGATAGACATTGTGGTGTTAGAAAGTGGAAGAATGGGTCTCAGTTTGAATAATGGGAAAACAGAAGTAATGGTCG